CAGTATAAAATCCTCCCTCGCATAGACAAAGACTATAACACTATCTCATCTAGTCTTCTATACTAACGCAACTCGCATTAAAAATAGTGTAGTTAATTATAGCATGTTACGTTATACAATTGTTTTTTTTTTCTTTTTCTTTTTCCATACTGTGTAATGAAGATTTAAATTATTTGGGTCACTTGAACTGAAGATGACAGTTGCACTGTTGCCATCTTACCATTAAAAAATCCACCAGGCAGTTTTATTATTGTGATACCCGATTAATATGTTATTAAAAATATTTAATAAACAAATAAAATATATAAAATATACTTGTATTCAGGTTAAAATAATAAGATTGAGAGAGTTGTGAAAAGAATTAAAATTAATTAAATAATGAAAAGATGATGGATGATGGAAATTCAGTTTTAGAACAAAAACTAAGTCAACACCCACTTGTTCTTTATATATAGACATCATCGAAAGGAAACTACGAGTAGAATCTGTTCAGTCAGCATAGTTGAAAGACAAGCAGTAGAATAATAAAAGAACTGTAACGAATTTTATTCAAGAGTCTTTTCAATTCCTTATTTCTACTCACTTTTTTCGCCATATATTAATTTATAAAATATTCAAATAAAATATTTTAAAATTATTCTGACACATTGATAATGAAAATTGACATTTATTTTAAGTGAACGCCTACTCTAAAATACTTAAAGAAATAAAATCTCTTGACGTTAAAAGTCTTATAATTTTTCATACTAACGTTTAAAAATATCTTATAAAACCAATATCACTTGCCAATTTTTTCTATTAAAATATTAAATACAGAATTTAAAAAAAATTAAATTTGAGTAATAAAAAAAATTTAAATAAATTTATAAAATTTATAATAAAATATTAATTTAATGCTTACAAAATATTCAAAATCCAAATAAAAAATTAAATTTTATAAAAATATTTAAATATTAATATAATATTTTTATATCTTTCTTCAATTTGAAGAATTACAAATCTTCAGTTTTTAAATTTACCGATTGCCATTTGTTATAACTTATACTTTTAGAAAAAATTAAATTTTTAATTTTTTATATAAAATAACATAATTTAATTATATAGAAACATAATATAATTTTATCAAATAGGTATAACATGATAAAATTGGTCAAATAGGTATACACTAATATAATTGTTNTAAAAAATAATATAGTTTCGCCATCTAAATCATTCAACATAAAATATTCAAGGATATCAAGACATAGGACAGCTTCATCAAGAATAAATAATTAATTTATTTTTACATTGTATGTTATATATTATTAGTTTTAGAACAAAAAAAAAAAACTCTCATTCATAAATGAATAAAATGTTTTCCTTAAATTCCAATGCTTCACAGGCATTGAGTATATTTAAATATAGATTCATCTCATCATGTCTGAAGGTTATGGAAACACCGGTTTGTTGAGCACCTGTTGTATAATTAGCTATGGGTTAGTCATTTAAATTAGCAACACAATGCTAAACTTATATATTCTCTCCGCATTCTTTACTATTTATAAATTGCTAAATCATACAAAAATAATTCAATTACTGAATTAACTCTATAAAATATGGATCAAACGAAAATAGAAAGTTTAGCTTTAAAACAAAAAAAGAGAAGATTTAACTTATTATTTATAACTAGTTACAACAAATACGAAACGAAAAAAAAACACTAAATAAAAATTTCACAACTAATTCTCTATAGAGTTCAGAGTTCTCCCTGCAATTGTGCTTTACTGTATTGCACAAGTATCACCAGGAAAATACTTCTTTACTAGATATAACATATATCCATTATATAATCCTCTACATCAAGTTAATATGATCATTTACGAGGCGGCAAGGTTTCTCTTAGTGATCAACGGAATCTTTGATGTCAATGGCTTTCAGAATATATTTAACTCAACAAAGTGTGGAGAATGAAAATATAACATCTGTCAACCATATATAAATAGTACTTAGATATGTTTCGTCTAAGTAATAGACTATGTTTACATTTATGAATACAGATAGATACCAGACATCACTTTCCATTTAAAGATGTTGTAAGAAATATAAACACTGACCATTTAAAGTAGAAGAGAGAATATTTTGAAAATAACTACTTTGACCATACTAGCACTGCTTAACGTATTTTGCAAATTTCTATTAATATGGTAATAATTTAGACTTTAAGTGAAATTTATTATAAACAGAAAGAGTCTTTCTTTATTTTTATACAGCGATTACTTAAGATATTTCTCAATATTTACCCTAGAATAATGATAGACATACAAACTAAAATTCAGTTTTCCTGTGTTATGTACTAATGTCACAGTGAAGCAAACTTTATAGGAACTTAGAATTCTATGCTTCTAAGAAGTTTGCATCATTTTTATTTATTTAATAGAACTAATTTAAATAATGCTCACAAAATATTTATAATATAATTTTCTAAACATTTACATAATTTTAAAAATTTATTTTTAAATTTCTAATATTTAATTGCTTAAGAATGAGTAAAATATGGAAGGTGCATAAAATAATTTCTTAGTTAAGTGAATATTTTTAACATCTTAATTAATTGATAAAGATTGAAAAAATAACTTTAAAAAACAGTCACGCTTAAATTTATAAAAGCTTATTTTGAAAAGATGTTGCAAGAGAATGACTCATCCAAAATCTTCCCACACAATCTATTGTAAGGAAAAAGAAAGTTATTTTCAACTGCAACATCAGCAAGTGAAATGAGAATATAGAAATTGTTTTGGTCAAGTTACCTTGGCAGAAAAAACCTGAGTCTGCATGGAAAATTTTGAATAGAAAATTATTATTGGAGAAATCAATATGAACACAGTAAAAAAAACAGTTACTTTCAGAAGTACAGCAGGGTATTAATCTGTTACATAACATTATTCAATCTATCTAAGAAGAGTTATTTATGTAGAAAATAAAAAAATATTTTTAACATTTTTCTCTTGTAATAAAATTTAAAAATAGGGATCAAAACATNAAGAGGCCGAAAAATCGCAGTTTTAAGTACTTTATTCTAATTAAATCACATCATTTATAAAATTACTCTTAGAGAGGATCATATTCTTCAGCAGTAGCAATTACTTTCACGGTGACAACTGGAAGAAAAAATGACCTTACACATATAGAACAATGACATTCGGTTCTTTAGTAGTAACAGTCGTGTTTAACGGGGGGAAAAGCTGCTTTTAAACGACACGGATCTAATTTCGTGAATTAACAAACCAGAAATCTCTAACAATTATGTTGAGTTCTTCATTAGATGTCTGACATAACTATTAAAGCACGCATGAAATTACAGAAATGGTGAAGTAATAGGATCTATGATAAAGAGGCACTCTACAAAAACGTTTGTACTGATTTAATTGTGAGTAACGAATTCGGCTTTGTCGAAATTGGATCTTTATCTCTAATGACTAACTGACAGACTCTTTCTCATCTTTATTTTTATCAGTTAAGAAAACTCTGTTAGCATTTCCCATGTTCTTCAATTATATTTTTGCAGTTGTAAACGTGTTCTTTATTCTTTCCCCTTATCTTTTTAGGTGATTAAGCTTATTATAGTCCCGTTTTTACCTATTGAATGTCTCGTTCAAGAACATTTCTATACCCGGAAATTTTAGAATGGTTTCATTTAAGATTATAAGGCACTTTCCTAATTAGCAAACGAGTCTATTAAGAAACAAATAATTATAAAATTAAACTTATTTGTGTCAAATTTTAACTTTGAATAGTGCGAAAAGGTCCTAATAATAGCGCTTCAGAGCTTTCCTGAATAGTTTTGTGTGTGCTCTTAGGATAGACTTTGAGAATTAATGTGAAATTATTACAATATTTATGTTAAATTATATATATGTAGTGGCTAACAACTGTGTCAATTTATTTTTCTAACATCAAGGGTAGCAACTAACATTATGCAATTTTGTATACAGTTCATTCAAACACCTGTTCTCAGGATCTCCTAAGGGGTAATGGAGACCAGGGGAAAAATGCCTATTGGGGTCCTATAGCAAATTAAATTATATTAAAAAAAGTATAAAAAAACTACATTGTATAGGGACCCTATGTTTTCCCCCTCCTGTTCATCCCTGCCTGTTCTAATATCTTTCTGTGTCTAAAATTAAAAGAAAATTACAAAATACAAAACATATTAAAAAATAATCATTATAAACATAAAATGAATTCAATTACAGTGCTAAATTATTTGCTTAAGAAATATACTAATTACATTCTAATATATATTTGCTACTACCTTTAAAATAATATTGCAAACTATGAGGGTAAACTCCTGTAGAAAGTAAAAACTGTTTTACTCCAAATTTTCAGAATTTTCAAGAAAAAATATCTGTCAAATGAATCACTCATGGTTAACTTTAGAAAAAGAAACTAGAAAGAAATGAATTTCAAAGATTGGTCTGTTTATGTGTGGCTAATCTTAGCCACCAAACTGGAAGGAAAAAAAGAACCCCTAAAGCTACCTTATAACTTTTATTTTTTTTGTTAGAGAAACATACTTTACACTTTAATAAATTAATGATCCTTTCTGTAGAAAGAGTTTTATTTCAGCTTTAAAACTTCTAATGCTTATTTATTTACAGTACTTTATAGCTTTATAGTACTCTATTTACAGTATTTTATAGTGTATATTTTTTATAGTTTAGAATAAATTAATAATTTTAATTTAAATATATATTTTATGTTTCATTATACATTTGAATTTTGAAATTTATTTAGAAAAACACCATAACTACACAAAAAAAAGTCAGCTATAGAATTCTGTCCTTTGAAAACCTGCCAAAATGAGGTTAGACAACAAGGGTACTCTTTTAAAGGTTTTCTCTTGTATTTTTCATTAATCATACTTACACCATATTACATCATCAACTATGTCTAACCAAATATTTATCATGAATAAAAGAAATTTTTACTTAAATTTAGTTAAAGAATAAATCATTACTCACCCTTCTTGATCTTCTGAAGCTGTAGAAAGAAAAAATATAAATAATCTATCAGTTAAATAGCAGTCTAGTAGTAAATTAATAATTCATGCATTTATATATAACATAAATTTAAAAAACACTACAAAAAGTAAGTTGTATTCACAAAAAGAAAATTTAATTTATTATATTTATATATTATGAGATTGCAATAAAATTAAGATTTAAAGTTTTTTTAAAAATATTAACTTTTACATCAACTAATTCAATAAAGATATAATTTGAAGTGTGCACTCTTTATATCAGTTATTAATATTACATTTAATTTTATATGCAATAATTTTATTTATAATAGAAGTTAATTTATTGATAGTGTCATCCAACAAATATAATTGTTATAAAAATAAAATACGGTACTTTAAAAAATTTCAATTTAAAATGATGTTATTTTGTAATGGAATATAATAATAAGAACCAAAATATCTCATAATTTGAAACATTCTGGTTATTAATATTATTAGAATCACCAGAAAAATTGAAATTTAATTAGTAAATATTTAATTATAAATATATTTTGGATGAATTCTTTTTAATAAATACTTTTTTAATTGAAAAGAGGCCGAAAAATCGCAGTTTTAAGTACTTTATTCTAATTAAATCACATCATTTATAAAATTACTCTTAGAGAGGATCATATTCTTCAGCAGTAGCAATTACTTTCACGGTGACAACTGGAAGAAAAAATGACCTTACACATATAGAACAATGACATTCGGTTCTTTAGTAGTAACAGTCGTGTTTAACGGGGGGAAAAGCTGCTTTTAAACGACACGGATCTAATTTCGTGAATTAACAAACCAGAAATCTCTAACAATTATGTTGAGTTCTTCATTAGATGTCTGACATAACTATTAAAGCACGCATGAAATTACAGAAATGGTGAAGTAATAGGATCTATGATAAAGAGGCACTCTACAAAAACGTTTGTACTGATTTAATTGTGAGTAACGAATTCGGCTTTGTCGAAATTGGATCTTTATCTCTAATGACTAACTGACAGACTCTTTCTCATCTTTATTTTTATCAGTTAAGAAAACTCTGTTAGCATTTCCCATGTTCTTCAATTATATTTTTGCAGTTGTAAACGTGTTCTTTATTCTTTCCCCTTATCTTTTTAGGTGATTAAGCTTATTATAGTCCCGTTTTTACCTATTGAATGTCTCGTTCAAGAACATTTCTATACCCGGAAATTTTAGAATGGTTTCATTTAAGATTATAAGGCACTTTCCTAATTAGCAAACGAGTCTATTAAGAAACAAATAATTATAAAATTAAACTTATTTGTGTCAAATTTTAACTTTGAATAGTGCGAAAAGGTCCTAATAATAGCGCTTCAGAGCTTTCCTGAATAGTTTTGTGTGTGCTCTTAGGATAGACTTTGAGAATTAATGTGAAATTATTACAATATTTATGTTAAATTATATATATGTAGTGGCTAAAATATACGAATTAAATTAAAAGAAACTTAATAATATTAAATTAATTAAGGCACCTTTGATAATTTAATCTTGCAATTCTTTCCTGTATTTTATAATAAAGTTCATCATTTAATTTTTGATGTGGTTTAATATAAATTAATTAATTATCCGGTAAAATTAAGTAATAAAATTTTCAAAATATATTTGAATTAAAATGGAATTTGAAAGGTTCAGATTTACTATAAATTAAATACAGTCAAACCTGTGAACAACGGTCACTGATGGGACATAAAAAATAGCTGTTGTTCGAAGTTGGCCATTGTTATTTTGTGCATTTTTGTTTAAAAAATATATATATATATATACCACAGGAATCATGTAATATTATCATAAGAAATGTTCACTAATCCAATTATTTTCCAAAAAGATCTTATTTATATTAAATAAATCATTGCTATTTTTATTAATTAATTGTGAAGATTTCTGCTGTGTGAGATTTATAACCTTATCAACCCATCTCGATTATATTATATTATTTTTATTATTATGTGCATAGTCCAAACGGTTAGGAGTTGAAAGTTGAAATCTGCTACACAGTTAGAGATACCTCATGAANAAAACGGCCGCTGTTTAGAAGTGGCCATTATTGAAGGTTCAACTGTATTCTAGTCAGGAAAACCTATTTTAAGGGTGGCAAAACATGAAAATGTATAGTACATAATATTTTATTAAAAGTTTTTATAATGTAATTCGAAAGAGATGTTTACCTTTTCTTTACTTAAATATCAGATTGGTTTAAGTTTACGTTCGGTTAAGGAACAGATAATTAATATAGTGTCTATAGCGGAAAATATTCTAGAATAGGCTTTGAATTTAGTTCAGTTTTCCTAATTACTACACAACACATTGTATCATAATTATCAAAACTGAACCAAAATCAAGACCGAATGTATATATAAACCATTGTATTGATTACAATAGTTATTGATATATTCCGGTGAAGCTATTGTATATTATTAACGTGAAATGATTTAATAAGAACTACGAGTATGTAGTCTAACTAATACATTTCTTATATATTTAATATACTTAAAACTTTAAAAATTAAATTTAAAATTTCGATTTTCAATGAGATCTTCCTATTGTTCATAGAGCAGAAAGGTTAAGAAAAGAAAGATTGAATTTTCAACTCTCAATTACTCTGATCAAAATGTGAAAAATAACACATTTTTGTGAATTATTTTTCATATTTTTATAATTAAAGTAGTTTATTTTTATGTAACTAAACTTATTTATCTTTGAAATTACGTAATAAGTTATTTATACAGTGGATAAACGAGTAAATGTACCTCATTCAATAAATAATACTTAAATATATAAATTTATAAATAAATATCACCAATTTTTCCATCCGAATTTTAATAAAATTCTTTCATAATTTAAGAGTTAACCTTTTAAATTCTAAGAATAGAAGAGTGTATAAAACACATGAATATCAACAATAAAAACTTATATATAAATATATTCTATTAATCAGCTTAACTTCTATAAATATTTTGGCTGCGAATGAATATCTCCATTCTTTTCCTTGTTATTTCAAAGGGAAGTTGGCCAAAGATATTCATAAAAATCAGCAATTATAAAAGTAATGAGACCTTTTCTTATTAAAGAACCAAACAAAAATCAAGATTCTGCAAATGGTAAAGGGTACTTACAAATATATATTTTAGTAAAATAAAAACAAATTGTTAATATATATTTAGACTTACAGGTTAAATTAACATTGATGGTAGCATTAGCATCCCCGGCTTTGTTATTGATACAAACTTTATAGAGACCAGAATCCGAATCTTCCACATCGCTCAACTGTAGGGCCACTAGGAATCTACTTCCACCGACATCACGTATCTTAAACACAATTCTATTGCTTTCTGTTAGCTTTTTATCTCCTCGAAACCAAGAAATATTGGGCCTGGGTCTAGCAGAGACTAGACATTCGAATAGTAAAGTATCACCATCATCTAGTTGTTTCAGACGAGGCTTTTGTATGAAACTAGGAGCGATATCCATCCCAGGTGATGAATGTACCTGGGAGGGAAAGTAAAAATTCTCAGGTGAAGCAAGGAAATTAGCTTAGAGAACTATAACAACAGCTCGGCTGGTGTGGAAGCAACGTTAACTATCGGCTATATTCGTCTGAAGAAGAGGTTCGAGCAACAGTACATTAAGATAAACACTGAACAGATGGCCAGGCTCATTAGACATTAACCTATCCTTCCTCCGGAGACAACTTTGTTTTTATTAATGCTAGTTGACGTATTCTGTCGTTCTTCCTCGCTTGATTTCTTTGGCAAGCAGTCCGAAGTGAGGTAGCCCAATTCCTTATTTTGAAGATAAACAACACCCATTGCCTATAAAATTGTCAAGGGAAAGTGTCAAAGAGCTTGCAATTCGACGAGGAGCCATTAAAGAAACAATGAAAATCGGTTGCGTAATGTATACAAATTCTCGCAAGTACTAAAACTAAATTGGATCGAAGGTATTTAAGGGGATAACTAAAGGACTAAAATTAGACAATGGCGCTATATATAAGATCAATGATGATTATTTTTATTTTTTAAATCGGTTGTAATTTATTCATTATGCCGTTTTTATATAACACTAAAAATAAACTTAAAAAAATAAAATAGTAGTCAAATTGATCCACTAGAGTCGGTTCAAATTTTGACACTTCTGACAGGCAAAGCGACGTTCTGCCACATGTGATGCGATGATTTAAGCTTCTAGAATACTTTCAACATTTCTAAAAGAAACTTTGGAAAATGCTGATGCTAATAAACATATGTATAGATACATGTTCAATATTTTTGTAAAATTTAAATAGATTCTCTCTTGTGCATGAATTCCTAGCGTGTGTCAGCAATAAAAAAAATGTAATTAATTTGCGATGAATTTAATTATTTTTTGATTAATTTACTTTAAAACAGATAGAAAAATGATACGTTTTAACGTATGCTACGGATTGTTTAATGTTTAAAAAAGAATATCTTAGTTAATGACGTGAATGAGAATGCCAAATCAGAGTTTATCATCTGATCATTAGAAGCAGTTTATCATCCGTTAATTATTCGAGTTAAATATGTAAGAAATTTGCTTGTTTTTTCTAAGTTTTGCTTAAAATTAATTTTATTGTTAGTTGAATTTAAAGGTTGTTTAAAGTTTAACACATGTTTAAGTAAAGATGTAAACTTATTTTTACTGAAACTTGGGACATAAGCTTATGTAAGAAAAAGAACATTTGCTCTATTTTATCACTTGTAGAAGTGTGTAGCCCTTCTTAGGCCATAAACAACCGTCTGAAGATAATTTTCCAAAGTTCTTCAACCCACAGAAATCTATTTTTAGTGTTAAAAGTTTAGATGTTTTCCATGAAAATTTCTGTTATTTGAGGAAAAAATTGTTTAGTAAGGTAAAATGGTGTTATATTTAGAACTTTAAGTGTTAATCTTTAGGCTAAAATAGAACAAATTTTGCCTGTTCCGTAATAATTCGATATATTTGCTTACATAAGAACAATTTTTTAAACGAAACGCGTAAAGAAAAATGATTTAAAATGCATTAAATAAATTAATTTCACTTCTAAATTATATACTTTTTTTAAAAATAATTAACTTTAAATTTGCCCATAAATAAAAAACTGTTATAAAAAACTTGATGTTAGGATATCCGGATTAGATAATATTTATGATCTTATTTTTTGGGCTATTTTTATTTTAAGTCGTAAATGATGTCATAATGTAAACTCGTAATTTTCTTACTAAAGAATTTTGGAGATTGGCATAAATTTTTACTTCCATAAATTTAAATTATTCGTGGTCTTCTTCTTCTCCTCCTCCCTTAAGAGTTTCCTTAACCAAAAATATTCTTTAGCTTCCTCTCCACTGTTTTCTGTCCACATAATCTTCATATTACAAGTACAGGGTATCTTCATATTACAAGTACAAGTATCATATTACAGTTCCATTTATGATGATTTCCAGAAGAATAATTACCATTTTTATGATGATATGCACGGGTTAAAGGCTAGACTAAGAGAAGATAACCAAGATCAAACAGGTAAAGAATCAAACATGAAAGGAACAAGAAGAGAAATAAGAAATAGTTTTCAATTCTGTTTTTATTTTAATATTTTCTTGTCAATTTTATTTTTATTTAATGTTTTTTTATATATTTTGAACAAAGAAAATGAATATTTTCTTTTTTTTCTTAGAATAAAATTGTAAAACTAAAAGTAAAGAAGTAGGAATCTAGTAATAGAAGAGATTGAAGAAGTAAAAAAAAAGAAGAGAATTGGGAAAAATAGCGGAGTAGAAGAAACAGGAAAATATATCAGAAATTAAAAAGAAAGGAATGGATAAAGTGGAAATCGAAAAATATAAGATTACAAGAGGCTGGGAAGAGAAACAAAGAAGTATTTGAAGAAATTGTAAGGAAAATTAGGGATATAAAGGAGGGAGATAACAAAAATTCCGGTAGGGATGTGATAATAAAATTAAGGATAGAACAAAAGAGCAAGAAAAGACACGATAATAAAAAATAGGAACAGAATAATAAAATAAGATTGGAAAAAAAAATATTAAAAATAAAAATTAAGAATAGAAAAATCGTAATATAAAATTAAAAAAATAATAATAATAATCAAGAACCTGATTAAGATAAGGTAAAGAAACAGAAATTAAGAAATATGAAAAATTATAATAAAATTAAACAATGAAAAATTAATATAAAAATCTAAAATAATTAAGAAAAAAAGTCACAATTGAGAAGTTAAGAAAGTGAAAACGGAGAAAAAATATTGAAAAGAAGGAGAAACAAAAAGGAAAAAAAAGGTGACAAAAAGAGGCTGAGAAAAGGAAAAAAGAAAAAGAATCAGTGTCAGACAGAGAGGTTAGAATTTAGAAGGTAGAAAAAATAATCATAGAAAAGTCTGCAAAACTGGAAACAAAAGAAAAGCGCATAGAAAAATTAAAATCAAAAATTTAAAAACATTCTTGCGAAATTTTAAATAGATAAAAGGTTAAGAAGATTCATCCAGCTTAAAGACAAAATTGACAAGATAACAGCTGAATTGAAGAGTTTGATTAAAAATAAGATTAAGAAAGGAAAGGGTTTAACAAAAATCGGAAAGAGAAAATTAAACGGGGATAAGGAGATTAGGGAAGAATACGTGGCGAATAGATCAGAATAAGAAACGAAAGATAGTTTAAACAGCTTTAGAAAAGATAGCCACGATAAAAAAGAGCAGGAGATTAACGAGGATAGGAACCGATAAGAAAAGAATAAGTAGGATAAAAATAACAGGAAGCATAGAAAAGAAAAGCATTAAACTCAATTTTTTGTTTACTTATTTACTCTATGCTAAAGCATTGCAATGACTATCGCGAGATTAGAAGAAGATCAAGAGGAAGAAAGATGCGAGCGCATAACAAAGTTGCAAAAATTATATCCTTATTTATAAAGAGTGTTAACTCGTCGAAAATGAAAATAGAATCAGTAAAGAAGAATATGTTTTCTCGTGACAACTGCTTGTTGTTATGTAAACAACTTTACAAGACAAATCTACGATCAGAAGAAAGAAAAAAAGAAAAGGGGTATGTTTGTTTAAGATACTAGTAAGCGATCCTTATATAGAATGCGGAAGTTGTTTACACAGAAAATACGTTTTTAAACCTTTCATTCGTATCGATTTTAATTCGTTTCCGAAATTTTTATCTTTAATCTTTGACGAGTGTTTAAAGGTTGTCAACGATAGCTGCTATAACTTGGGTAATGAAGAAGTAGATTCGTCGACCGAGATTTATCTTACCTAAGGAACACGAATGATGCTATTGGGATCTAAAAATAACCGTTCTGCTTTAAAATATTCTAGAAACGCTGATGTTAGATACTGGTAATACTATCTTAGAGGTGGTCGTACCTTATATGTCTTGAGGCTCTAGAAGCTGTTAATTTAAAAGTCGACATTTCTCCATCCATCCGTTCTGCATCCTACACGTTATCATCATCGGATACGATCCACATTTTCATGTCTAAATCATCTTAGTAAATTGAAACTTCCCGAATTTTTCAACATTAAAGGCCCGTTTATCCTTCTAGATATCGTTCATTTAGTTATATATACGCGTATAAGTTACTTATATTATATATGGAAAGACATATTGAAGTGTATCAAGATGCGATTGTCCTTGAAAATCGAACATTTTGTATATTTTTGGATAGAGTTGTATGCCAAACAAAACTACCGAATTTTCGCTAAATTCCGAGTTTTGTTTCGCTTTAAAATAAAGTAAATACTTAATTTTTTATTCTAAAAATGTAAAAAAAATTTTCTCCGGAAACTTATGATGCATCGAAGATAATTTGAAGCGTCACTCAATTTGATAGCTCCTTCATAATTATTATACGTCAAATCTAAATGTGTAATTCTCTTCGATATAAGGTTAGATCGATAGTGTAATCAGCGATAACTATATGCTGTGAAGTATATAATACCACTTGGCCACGTTCCAAGGTAGATTTATAAATATTTTAATCCTCTTCGATGACGAGAGATGGCAGTATCTTACAAACTAACTGGTGATGATCGTTTTCCTATTTTCAATTACATAAATATCTCCTACATATATCGTATCACTGAATTACTTTCCTCGCTTACAATTTGTAACATTGGTCTAGATTTATCATCGTCATTCTGGCGTTTTTTTTTTACTCCATTCTCCTCAGTAATCACTACTTTTTTTAAGCCATTCTCCTATTCGCAGTATAAGCTATAATCATCAGCATCTTTATGGATCTGTTTCTTGTCGTTTACTATTAGTGATGGAAGCAATCGGTTATTTCGAGTCTTTCTTATTCCTCATATTAGATTTATCTTCTTATAATTTCGATAATATCTAATGGAAATTACGAATTTTCTTGTTTCCTTAGGGCATTGATAAAGAGTTCGGTTAGAGTCTCCACTTGTTGAGGTTGAACGCTAAGTGGACGAGATATACGCCTCCAATCTTGAACAAAAAATTAATCTAAATAAATAACGAGTAGTGGAGCCATAAAGAGTAAGTTTAACAAGTGCACCTACCTGCAGACTTCCTTCTAGCAGCTATAGCTGGCTCCATTGAAGGGATAACGGGCTCGGAACCTCCTTGGTAAAGACCTCTAAATCCTAGAAAAGGGTTTATGATTCTGGCCAAAATCGACTCCAACTTTAATTTATTTTTATTTGGAGGATAGCTATCATTGACTCCCTGAAAGAAATTGCCACATTTCGAGATATTGGTCATAAAATAGATCGTTTTTTTGAATTATTTTTTGAGTATATAAGGAAGATAAACTCGCCAGACAAAATACAAGGATAATCATCTATTCAGATAAATAGTCGATTATTTATCTTTCGATTATATCTATTTATTTTTAAATCGATTTTTAATTTTACCTGCAAGATAAGGAACATGTGCTTAATTCCGGAAGAAACTTTATAATTGACTTTTTGTAGAGCTTCTGTACTAAAACAAAAAAAAAATTATATTTAAATAATTTATTCGAATGTATTGCAATATTATTCAATTGTTGTTATAGAATATAACTAATAAAAAAAACTCACCTTCAATTTTAATTTTTAGTAAGATAAAATCGCGAAAACTAACAAGAGCTGTTTGCCTAACCGTCAATATTTCTTTAGTCTATTAAAAATTACATATCTTACGATTAAAATTAGTCATATAAGATCTATATATTATATAATTCAACATTATTTGACCTTAATTAAATACAATATTGCTTCTAAAGCAGGTAAAATCTTCTTAAAAAAATAATTCCAAATTTCTTCCAGCATAACTAATAACTTTTCACCTTTACAGAAAATCAATATAATATTTTATTTAAATATTTAAAAAAAATTTTTAATATTAATTTTCAAATTTATACCTTCTTCTAGCCTTATATTCTCTCTCAAGATGATCATCCCTCTTGGTAATAATTCTTGCTGAGGGGAAGACATTCGACTCATTTCAACATCATTTATCACCCCAAAAAAATTTTTGTCACCAACTTACCTTATAATAATCGAAGATAAATGGTCCCGTTTTTGATCCTAGAATATTTCTATAAAATAAAATAATATAATATTTTTAAAAAAAAAATCTAAAATTTCATTACAAATACATGTTAACAGTTTACCTGATATTCTCATGGAGACTAAACAATTCACCCGGGTTCATGACATCTTTCTGCTGAAACAAACTGACAATTTTCTTCAACAAGCTACGAAATTTGACTAAAATTTAATCAGAAAAATAATTTTAAAAGCCAGAGAAGAGATAATAATATTTACTTATTCCAATCTTGATTCTTTCTAAAGGTGTGTTGTCTATCTAAACTCGAAGCTATGTCTAAGGTGACTATCCCATATTCGGGTACTTGCTGTAGAAGGGAGGAAGTCCTAGGAAATGCAGGAGAAGCTAAAGAATTTATAGAGTTTTGCATATAATGCACAGATGAAGATTTCATACTTAAACGTTTCAAAGACATAGTAGAATGTTGTGTAACAAAGTCACTTCTCATATTTATGTTCTCTGCTTCTTATCAGAGAAACTACACCTATTAGATAACCCCCTTATCTTATCGTCGACTCTGCCATATTTTATGAATAATAACAATAAATATATACATTTGTTAAGTTTAAAGAGGTATGCAACTATATACCTCGCCCATTTTTCCTTACTTTTAAAACTATTTTTAAACTATCGGCTTATAAAACTGGAAAGAGAAGTTAATTAACCGATAATTCTAAAATATTTCTACTATTCTGTAACCCATTAGAACGTATTAAATGTACGATATACGATAAAGTTGGTGAATAACAGCTGCAAATCATCCTTACTCCTAGCTTCGGTCGTGACGTGTCAGATAGGATAAACCGGTGTAAATTTACATGATGATACTTTCATAAACACATCATCTACACCTTATTTCCTAATCCGTTTTATAATTGTTTAGTTTCGTCTAGCTACAAATTAATTATATTTTTATAAAATATATTAAAACTAAATACAGGTAACAGAAAAATTTATATATAAAATTATAAAAGAACATGCCTTACCTATCCATTTTCTTGATTAAGAATTGGTGACTTATCTGCTCTTATCAATAAAATAATTTTTTATTTTATTTTTATTATTTTATAATTCGAAAGTGTCGCCATTTAGAAATTTCTTAAAACGATATTCAATAATGCGAATATTTAATTTAAATCTATAATAAATAATAGTCTATATATTTTTTAATATTATCTGTGTAGGTATCAAGTAAAAGTTTCTGCTGAATTTAACAGAATTTTTATTAAATTATTCCTTTTTATATAAAAAAATATAATATTAATAATATTACTATTTTATAACACTAATTTGTAATTTTAACACGGAAAAATCTTTAATTTGTGTTGTTTTTAACTTAAAAATACAGCAGTTAAACAGTAAATTTTCTCTGTTTAATGCTTGAAAATACGACGAAAATATATATTGAAGCCATATATAAAAAAATAAATGATACTTTTTCATTATTAAATCTATCTAGATAGCAATATTTTGAAGAATAAATTCAATAGAAAGAAAAAATATATAAAAAAACTGCACTCAAACATGGATTCATTTGTGTGCAATTCAGCAAGAATCTCAACAAATCGATATTTAGAGGGCCACTTCGATAACTGGTTTTCGTTAACTAAACATAAAAAATAATTAAATTTAGTTACTTTTTTCACAGAAATTTATGAAAATTTTTAAAAAACAGAAGGAAAATTACGGAAGAAAGAAAAAAATCCGAATGGATACTCATCTTCGTAAGAAGTGATAAAAAGAAAAGACATAAATTCCGTAGTTAGAGAGATTCGTCTTAAAAATCTAAATCCCCCGATTTAACGATTATTGCTCGTGTGTTTATAGTCTTACTTTAATAAAACTATATCTAATTGTTAATTTGAAAAGTAGTTTCTTTACGTAGATGACTCTAGATACGAGTATTAAATGGCTAAGCAACAATTCTTCTAATTGATATATTGTGAAGATGGACTTACAAAGAAAAGAAAAAAAAAAAGATCAGATAATAATTAATCCTATTATAAGAGAAAATTAAAGGTAGAATCGAACAATCGAAACCGCAAATCGTAATAAAAAAACATAAAGATGATTAGATCTACCAGAAGGATTATGTGAAAAATAAGTGTTATAACCTAGAAAAATTGGTTAATAGGCTTTATTCTAAACTAATAACACAATAATTAAAGATTAGTTGTATGGATAATCGTTTAATGTGTTCTGTATCTATCGTCGCGCGATCGCTTGAGAGAATGTCGCGTCGCGTTACGTTTATAAATCCAAAATAAGATAAATATTATTATTAATGAACTATTTTCCTTTTACTTTTCCTAATTATCAACAATTTTAAGCGATTTCACAAAGGTTAAAATCAATATTTCATTTGTTTACGTGCATACTTTATGTTTCATATTAAAACACGCCAACTTCGCGTCGCGTCGCTTAGAGCGCTATATTCAATGCAAAGCGATCGCTTATAAACTGCATAATAACAATTAATATACTAAATTATTATATTTTTCATAATTAAGAATTTTAAATTGAAAAATAATAAACAAAAATTCTCTTATTAAAAAAAAAAACAAAAAAAATTATATGTATACATAAATAAGAATTGTTTTAATGTCGATGAAGAGAATGAAACGCTAGATGGCAGCACATACTCGTACATTATTTAATCAATGTTGCCACAAATAATAATAATTTGGTTAATTCTTAATAATAAGATATTAACAATTAAATAATCCTCGTAATAAATTAGGTTCCTGTACATAATTTAAATTTTATATTGTGACGCTTGCTAATTGAAGAGGACGATGAAGAAAAGAAATTTTGAAATTGTTTACATATATCCTATTTAGTATTTAATTTGTAATTCGAGGATTAATTTGGATTTTATAGATAATTTTTTTCTAGTTAATTTTGAAAAGAAAGCAAATCGACGCTAGAGGGAAGCACTGAAGGGAAGCATGTTGAGGAATGGAGTAATGAGTTCATAATGAGGATGAATTCTCATATTTCCTTCAGTCATATAAAAAATTCAAGGAAAACTCGTCATTTTTAATGATATTGGATATGAATGTAGTTTTAATTTGTCACGTAATATTAATAATTTTAGTTAAATTTTAAGAAATTTTAAAATTTCCTTGCTTTGTTTACATCTCAGAATGTATGTTTTAAGCCACTTCGGGATAAATCTTTGTTGACTTTCAGCAGCATGAATTACTTAGCAGATTAAATTTATTTTTAAATGTTTTGTTTTTTTCCCCTTNCAGTGCGATTGCTTCTCTCCTCGGTTTAAATTGAACGACTGACCATTTTTATCTCGTTCGAAAACATTCGGTCCTCTACGAAATAAATCTACCTCAATCCTATTATTGATTATAAATGTACTGTACGTATTAACTAAACTCCTTTACCATAGAAATTAAAAGAATTCGCATCCTAATTAAAGCATAATTTGATACCGAACAGACCGAAACACTTTACTTTCCGAAAAATCAATCCGGCACGATGCAAAAATGTAAGATATTTGCAACAAACTATTGATTTTCACTTTAATGTAAATAAAAACCTATCAATGATGCTTCCAATACCAAAAACCATATGAGAAATCTATTTAGGAAGTAGAAATTAGATAATTATTTTGTATTATTATTGTATATTTATATACATATATACTGAAGCAGGATGAATTAATTACCCTTATCTAATTAATGAATATTTTATTTAAATTAGAAGAAAGAGAAATCAAAATTTTAGTAATCAATTTCAATCAGCTGAAACTCTTTATATTCCATATGCAAACACTAATTCTATGGATTGTATGTGTTTTGCAACTTTATAATTTATAAGAAAATGGTTTGAATATTAGAAATCGAATATTTTATTCCATGAAAAATCGCAAATCTTGATGCAATGCGGCGTTCATCTTCGACTAGTCTATTATCCACTAACTTACTTTCAAGCTCTTGGGTGTTAAAGGCCAGATGTCGTGTAACTTAACGCTTCTTCTCATACACCACGCAATATATTAAACCTTATAATGTCAACTCGAGATATTATTATAAGCTACGATTTATATGTATATTTATATAAATATTTTTTTTTCCTATTATAAATTAATGTTATGAAAAGATTTAATGCTTAATTAGATTTATTAAAATTTATTTTATAACATTAATTGAAAACTTTAATTTTTATTGATTAAAAATAATAAACATAAAGTTTAAAATTATGTTTTTAATAAAATAAAGATAATCACTTATGGTATAAAATATCAAAGGTTATAAATCTTTTTTTCAGTTTTTAAATTTTAATTTAAGCATTGTTTTTTGGCTTAATAAATGCTATTATAAATCACACTGACACACTTTGGGAAATAAAGTCAATTATAAATTTATTTAAAATAGATTATGTATTGTTGTGCCGAGTAAAATTCCCATAGGTCACATTGCAATAATTTTCGCCTTGCCCTGTTGGACAATTATTTGGATACTTATTCAAATATTTACATTATTCTTAAGGGAATATATTTCTAAATTTGGAACATGGTGGAGCATACCATAAGATTATTTTATGGTATATAATGTATATGTTTAAACATACACATGTATAAACATATGCATGTATAATTATTTCCATTGAAATTTAAAAAAGTCTGAAGAAAATGTTTCATTTCAACTGAAATTCTCATTTCAAATTAAACTTTAATTCTATATGAGCTTGTATTATCTCTTTCTCTAGTGGTTTCCTGTTAATTATGTTAGTTGTGTAGACAAGAAGACATTAATCAAATATCTGTCAGTAATGTTAATGACTATGAGTATTAAAATATTTTTCTCTTTACAGTTTACTAACTTTATAGATTCAAAATTCTTTTTCTCTTCTTTAGGATATTAATATTGAAACCCTAAAAATTTTAAAAAGTAATTTGATCAATTTTAATGATTAAATGTTAAAATTTATCAAAAATATTGTTTTTAAAATTGAATTCTTTTCTATTGTATTTACAAAAAATATTTAAGAATTTTTTTATACTTTTAAATGCTTTTATACAAATTTTAATATAACTTTAATTAAAATGAATGGATTAATTTAAAATTAAGTGAAAACTATAGAAAAAATATAGATATAATATTTAAATATAATTAGTATAAGTAATTTATTTTATATATATTTTTTCT